AGCAGCTATGTCCTTTAGGACTTGACCATCTCAGTCAGTAATGGTGCTGCTGAGACACTTTTGCGATGGACAGGACGTTCCCCCACCCTGAGTATATTCTGCACTCCTGCCAACCTCAGCAGTTACTCCAAAATGTACAAGAAGGAGGACTACGGATTCACCAGCTGAGGGGTGGGTTGGGGATACGTTGGTGGTTCCTTTCCCATGTTAGATCTGGTGCCATGAGACCACATGGGGTTCAGCATTGAGAACATTGAGAACTCCCAGGGCAGCACCCTCTGGCTCCACACCTCTGTGCTGCCACTTCTGCTGCCTCTGTCCTGCAATCGGATCACAAAATGTTGATGGTGTTATCAGGGACATTGCCTGTAAGGTATGATTCCATGAGTATGACTATATTAGACTGTTAATTGACAAGTCTGTGAGACCACTTTCCCAATTTTGGCATTTGCCCCCAGATGCTGGTGAAGAAGACTCTGCAGGATTGACAGGGCTGCATCTGCTTTTGTTGTTTTCAGTGCGTAGGTTGATGCCGTCTGTTCTTACTCCTCTTTTTATGGCTCTTTCACTGTTGACGTAACTGAATGGCTTGCTGGACTAGTTTAGAGGGCAGTTAAGACTCAACCATGTGGCTGAGTCACACGGAGGCAAGAAGACTTCCTTCCTTAAAGGGCATCAGTGAACCAGATGGGCTTTCACAACAATCAACTATGGTTTTGTGTTCATTGTTGAACTTTTAATTTCAAATTTCCCCAGGTGGTGAGATTTGTACCCGGTTCCCTGGAGAATTATCTGGATCACGAGCCTAGTGATAGTACCACTACACCACTACCTTTCTCTTGCTTGCTTTCTGTCCTCTCTAGCAGTTCCTCTCAGTAAAATTTGACTCTTTTGGCATCATGTGAGATTTAGAATGGGCCCATCTCCCACTCATGTACCTGACTCTAGTGAACGAAGAAGGAGGGAGAACTAAACAGGACATTGGTTAGGCCACTATTGGAATAGTGTGTGCAATACCAGTCTCCCTGCTACAGGAAGGATATTGTGAAACTTGAACAGGTTCAGAAAAGATTTACAAGGATATTGCCAACATTGGAGGGTTTGAGCTACAGGGAGAGGCTGAATAGGCTGAGGTTAATTTCCCTGGAGCGTCAGAGGCTGAGGGGTGATCTTATAGAGGTTTATAAAATCATGAAGGGCATGGATGGGGTAAATAGACAAGGTCTCTTCCCCAGGGTAGAGGAGTCCAAAATTAGAGGGCATAGGTTTAAGGTGAGAGGGGAAGGATTTAAAAGGAACCTAAGAGGCAACTTTTTCATGCAGAGGGTGGTATGTGTGTGGAATGAGCTACCAGAGGAAGTGGTGGAGGCTGGTACAATTACAACATTTAAAAGGCATCCGGATGGGTATATGAATAGGAAGGGTTTGGAGGCAAATGGGCCAAATGCAGGCAAATGGGACTAGATTTATTTAGGATATTTATTTAGGTCAGAATGGACGAATTGGACTGAAGGGTCTGTTTCCGTGCTGTACATCTCTGTGACTCCATGTGTTCTCACTCATAAAAGGATATAGAGCCAGACGGCACATGTTTAAAGAATTTTTCAAAAGCAGCAATTGTGAGATGAGAAAAAAAGTATTCATACAGTGAATAGTGAGAGTCTGGAATGCACTGGCTGGTGAAGGCAGGTTCAACTGAAGCATTCAAAAGGGCATACAATACTGCCTAAATAAAACAATGTACAGAGTTACTTGGAAAAGGCAGGAGATTGTCAAGAAGTCAAAATGGTCAGGGAGTCAATGCAGACACGATACACTGAGTGTTCTCCTTTATGCGTGATAACAACTCTGTGAGTCATGCGTATTAGATTTTCAATTAATTCTTTAACAAATTCTTGGCCAATTTTTCACCTCCATCAACATGAAGCCATTCTTTGAGGAAGAATATTTGTCATTTGTGAAATTAAATGATTCTCAGATGTGATCTGAAGGAACCTAAAATCGTCACTCAGTTTATTTAGCAAAATTCCTCCAGAATGAGCTATCCTTTAGAGAGTATGTAACGTGCATAGTCGATAACAAAGAAATGACAGATGCAGTAAATAAATCACTTTGTAGATCCAAAAAGACACCCCAGTAATGCCTGTAAATTCTGGAGGATAAAGGAGGGAGGGTTTTGTTGAAATTCTAATCACTGGAGAAGAGGCACTTCAGATATTGTTGGAGCTACAGGTTGATAAGTTTTGGTTCTGATGGACTTCAACCTATGGTCTTAAAAAAGGTGGCTAATGAGATCATAGGTGCATTGGTGTTAACTTTTCAAAATTCATTAAATTCTAGAAAGGTTCCATTTAACTGAAAGGTAGCAAATATAACAATCCTAATCAAGAAGAGTATGGGGAAGGAAGAATGAAAACTAGAAGCCAATTGGCTCATTGTCAGCAGTAGAGAAGGTGTTAGAATTGATTGTTAAGGAGGTTATAACAGTGTCCTTGGAAAAACTCGAGGTAATTTGGAAGGGTCAACATGATTTTGTGCAAGCAAAATTCTGTTAACAGGTTTATTGAAATGCTTTGAAGGAGTATACATGATGTGGATAAAGGGGAACCATTTGATGTCCTGTGCTTGGATTTCCAGAACATATTTGAGAAGGTTCCAGATAAAAGGTGAAAAATAGGAGTTCATGGTTTGGAGGTAATATACTAGCATGGATACAGAATTGGCTGGCTGGTAGAAAACAGAAAGTATGAATAAACGGGTCTGTTTCAGACTGTCAGAATGTGATGAGTGGGATCCTGTGGTGGTTTGTACTGAGCCTCAACCCTTTACAATATACATCAATGACTTGGTGAGGGGATTGAAGGCTTGGTGGCTAGATTTATACATGGCAAAGGTAGGTTGGAGAATTTATTATGAAGATGGCATATCAAGGATTGATATAGATAAGTGGTAAGGTCCCAAGAAGTGTTGCTGAACAAAGAGACCTTGGAGTGCACGTTCATAGTTCTGTGAAAGCAGAGTCGCAGGTAGATAGGATAATGAAGAATGTGTTTGGTATGCTTGCCTTATTGGTCAGTGCATTGGGTATAGGCGTTGGGAGGTCGTGTTGCTGCTGTACAGGACATTGGTTAGGCCACTATTGGAATTCTGCGTGCAATTCTGGTCTCCCTGCTATAAGAAGGATGTTGTTAAACTTGAAAGGGTTCAGAAAAGATTTACAAGGAGTTGCCAAAGTTGGAGGGTTTGAGCTATAGGGAGAGGCTGAATAGACTAGGACTATTTTCCCTGGAGCGTTGGAGGCTGAGGGGTGACCTTATAGAGGTTTATAAAATCATGAGGGGCATAGATAGGGTAAATAGACAAGTTCTTTTCCCCGGGGTGGGGGAGTTCAAAACTAGAAGGCAAAGGTTTAAGGTGAGAGGGGAAAGATTTAAAAGGGATGACCTTTTCACCCAAAGGGTGGTGCGTATGGAATGAGCTGCCAGAAGAAGTGGTGGAGACTGGTACAATTACAACATTTAAAAGTCATCTGGATGGGTATATGAATAGGAAGGGTTTAGAGAGATATGGGCCAAATTCTGGCAAATTGGACTAGATTTATGTAGGGCATCTGGTTGGCATGGATGAATTGGACCAAAGGGTCTGTTTCTGCACTGTATATCTCTATGAATCTATGACTCAAAGTTACACGAGTGGACAAAAATGTGACAGATGGGAGTATAATGTGGGAAAATATGGAAATTTTGGAAATTTGGCAGGAAGAATAAAAAAAGCAGAGCATTATTTAAATAGAGAAAGCCTGCAGAATTTCAAAATGCAGAAGGATCTAAATGTTCTACTGCATGAGTTACAAAGGGGTTGTGTGCAAGTACAGCAGATTATCAGGTAGGGGTGATGCTATCCTTTATTAAGAGAGGAATTGAACATGTAAGGATATTCTGCTTTACTAATACAATGCACTGGTGAAATTATATCTTAAATACTGTGCACAGTCTTGCTCTCTTTATTTAAGGAAGGATGCAAATGCATTGGTTCAGAGAAAGTTTGCTAAGTTGACACCTGGAATGAGCAGGTTTATAAGGAAATATTTTGCTGGAGTTACAAAGAGCAAAGGATGATTTAATTGAAGTGTATAAGATCCTGGATGGCGTTGACAAGGTGCATAGGGAAAGGATGGTTATCTTCATGAATGAGACCAGAACCAGGGGACATGGTTTTAAAACTAAGGGTCACACTTTTAGGACAGAAATGAGGGGATTTTTTTTTGCCTCTCCCAGAGGGTTGTGTAACTTTGGAACTTTCCGCCTCAGAAGAGAGTGGAACCGGGGCTCACTGAATATTTTTAAAGCGGAGGTAGACAGCTTCTTGTTAGGCAGGGGAATCAAAAATTGCCAAGTTCAGATGAGAATGGGGACTTCGGAACAGAAACAGATCAGCCATGATCAGGATGGCATGGTGGCTAACAGTGCTGCCTCACAGCGCCAAGGACCCGGATTCGATTCCACCCTCAGGTCACTACCTGTATGGAGTTTACACGTTCTCTCTGTGTCAGTGTGGGTTTCCTCCAGGTGCTCTGGTTTCCTCCCACAATCAAAATATGTGCAGGTTAGATGGGTTGGCCATGCTAAATTGCCCGTACTGTCCAGGGATGTGTGGGCGAGGCGGATTAGCCATGGGAAATGCGAGGTAACAGGGATAGGACAGAGGGGTTGGGTCTGGGTTGGATGCTCTTCAGAGGGTCAGTGTGGACTCAATGGGCCAAATGGCCTGCTTCCACACTGTAGGTATTCTATAATTCTATGATCTTACTGATTGGCGGAGACAGTTGAAGCGTCAATGGCTGATTTCATGTGTCATATGAAATCTTCAAATATGATTAGTTTTTTTTATGAAATATATTTTAAAAAGCAGCTTTTACTAAAAGAATACAAAAAGAAGAATCCTCCAGGGGACCATATTTTTTGTAACCAGTCAATATAGTCTTCAAGGTGTTGCTTTGCCTTACCTCTTGTCATTACGATTCCTGCTAGTACCTTATGCCTTGCATGTGAGGAGGTCAAATTGTCTGTCAGCTCTTTGAATTTCTCTGTGACCATCTGGAATACTGCATCCGCAAACTCCTGAAAGACACAGGTATATTTTATTGCTGTGAGGCTTGTTTTTAGCATGATCTTATGTTGTCCACATATCAAAGGCCACCAGTTTCATGTTTCCTTCTCTTCCTGAGCAATTGTTATGATAAAAAGAGAGAAAAAGCAAGTGATATTTGATTCTGTCCTAAATGCTGGATAATTTCACTTACCAATAATTTGTTACTTTTTACCCTGAACAACAAAACAACAGGCATGATCCATTCAAAATATATGCTCCATATTTATTTGTTATGTCTCAATCTTCACTGCTGTGTTCAGTAAGTGCTGTAACCTGTTATTAATCTTCCCTTCTTCTTTCTAGTTCACTTTTTATATTAGGTGAAAGTTTTAAATCATTTTAATGATTCATTTGTTCAGGTTAAATTATAAATACATACAGTTGAAACTGGAAAATGCAAAATGAGCTTTGCATATTTTAAGGTTCTAATTTGTTTTTCTTGTTTTCTGTGAGTTAGCAGTGATGAATAATTCTTAGCCTGTGATTACCACTATACATAATATAGATGCACTTTGCAATTTTCATTATATTCATCTCAGTGATAGTTTTAATAGTTTTGTATGTAGTAGAATCTAAGTAATTTTGACAGACTTAAATGACGAACCTAGATTTTTGTGATTAACTTATATTTATATGAATTTCTGCATGTGCCTGTGGATGTTTTGAAAATTCTTTGGAACATATCCAGCAGATAAATAAAAATGAAAGGTTATCTTAAGGCCTTCAAAACCTTTAAGGCCAAAACCAATAAAAGAGGAGGATTTCTTAATTTCTTGCTGATAATCAACCTGAAAAAGGGAGTTAGTTTCCCTGGAATATTGTGAAGGCAGTGATACAGAGCACTAACTGCTGCTCTGTACTTTCAACATTATCTTTAATCGTTCTCTAATGGAACATCACATGTTGCCTAAAAACCAATTAAGATAGTTATTTAGAATAGATCTTATTTGAATGTCAGATAGGTATTGCCTGTTTTAATTGAGCTACTGTTTTAATTGGGCTACAATGCCTTATTCTGGCATGATCCCTTTTATAATTTCATATCAATGATGCATTTATGTTTACTCACATGTGTCATTCATCTGTGAGTCATTTGACTATCATTAATAATGATGATGAAAAGAATTAATCAATTTTAAATGATTGGATTAATATTTAAAATTCGCAAGAAGACAAATGATGCTATAAGATGCATATGATTTAATGAACACACCAACCCATAAGTCCTCTGTTTTATCTGTCACACGTCAGATGCCATGCTTGCAAGTCACTTTGTAAAGAGCAAATTTATTTGACCCAAATTCATGATTGACAGAACATGCAGGATTTTAAAAATTCCAGTCTCGGGCCTGGTTTGCTTTCCTGTAAAAACAGTGATAATAAAACCATTTTTAAGAGCCAAAGTTAATATTTTTTGTAATGAGTATCAAAATGAGACAAACTTCGTAAAACACAAACTCAGTGGTGTTTTCTTCTGAAATAGCATCATTGATAAAGGCAATGGAAGTTAAATGATTACAAGATAAAATAATTCTCACATAAAACCCTGAATAAAAATTCCTGTAACTGAATGTGATACTGATGACACCACTTGCATGGCAGTTGTAGTCAGACTTACAGAGTTTGCAATTATGAATGTCATTTAGCAGAGGCTAATGAGTGGCAGTAGAAATGAAGTTCAGAAAATGCTGGTGGTAATTCTGATAGTGAATATTGCGGAGAATGTCCCATTGGATTGGAAACATGCCATCTGCCAAGTGAATAAACTTGGCTAACTGGAGGCCCAATAGTCTCACACTGATAACTCACCTTAACTTGGTTTGAGAGGAGGCAGATTCTGCTTGCCCACCTTTTTGACAAATTTACATTACAAGTGTTATGCTGAATAATCTTCTGGAATGCCTTCAATAAAGTTTCATGTGAAATACTACTATTTAGGTTTCACTGTGCAAACGCCAGGTAACAAGTAATTAAGGAACTGATGGAAGAGAAGCAGTCAACAGTTACTAGTTCAAGGTGTACACTGGAGAAGTGTACTGAGTGGGGTATACCAGGGCCTGATGTTCAGATTTCCATTATCTCCAATCTCATTCCAGTGTTCAAGTCCCACAGTGGTCTTGCAATCTCCCTACCTCTGTAACCATCTCCAGCCTTAGAATCCTCCGAGATCTCTGCACACTTACAATTCTAATTTTAGGCACTCCAACACTGATGATAGTGCCATCAAAGGCCACTAGCCCTGAAATTCCCTCCCTAAACCTCTCTGCCTCTTGACTTCTCATCTCCTATGATGCACCTTGAGACATTTTACTACATGAATGATAACATGTAAATGTAATTTGTTGTTGCTGTTATTGTAAATGAATGCTCTGGAATACAAGTTAATCAAATGAAGTGAGAGGGTCATTAGACTTAGCTGGATCAACTGGGACTAGGACCCGAGAGCACAGTCTCAGAGTGAAGCATTGATTCTTTAGAACTAAGATGAGGAGGAATTTCTTCGGCTAGAGAATGGTGAATCTGTGGAACACATTGTCACAGAAGGCTGTGGAGGCCAAGTCACTGAGTGTCTTTCAGAGATAGATAGGTTCTTGCTTAGTAAATTGATCAAGGGCTACAGGGAGAAGGCAGAAGAATGGGGTTAAGCCACATATCAGCCATGATTGAATGGTGGAGTAGACTCAATGGACCAAGTGACCTAATTCTGTTCCCATATCTTATGGTCTTAGGGAACCACAGAAGAATTTTTAAAACTTTTAAACCATATAAAATGACATTCAGCAAAGATAAGTTTCTGCATATTAACATTAAAAAGGGCATAGCTAATGAAGGAATAGTGTGGAATTGGCTCAGATATGGTAAATGTCGGCTTTATTATTACTCCCAGTTACTTTCCAGGTTCTCCTCAAGCGAGTCTGTGATTTACCATGTTCATGCCTTGAAATTTAGCTCAGCTGGTATTAGCATATAATTGCTACATGAAATCCCTTTGACTGATATTTCAAGGAAGGCACTGATCTATTTGAAATAATCAGTTAACCTCTCTATTAAACAGCAGGTAAAATAATTTTAGGTTAATATATTAAGTGCTCATATACACTAAGGTTCAAGCAGCTTCCCTTAAGGCATAAGGGTTGAATTTGTTATCGATGACAGACCTGGACAACTTATTTAAGTTAGATGCCACAGAATAATTTGACCCTATGATGCAGATTCATCCCAAGTATAATGAGGCATTTCGATCATCTGCCTTAGATATTTTTGGCCTCTTTTCAAAAATATTCCCAGCCAAGCATTGAAGCAGATAATGCAGAACATCTCAACTTTATGTTGAATTTTGTTATTTTGGAGAGTTGGTCTATTTTGGTTTGCCCTGCTTTGACATGGACTTGTTAACAGAACAAGATAGTTTTCATAAAGGCATTCTAAGGATCTCTTCCTTGGACTGTCTGCTTCAATATAGCTGTGATAGAGTTTGGACACCCTCCTCTGGCAACTAGCTTTGTTTGACCACATTTTTATCACTCAGATGTGACAGCATTTCAAAACACTCATCACTGCAGAAATATATTTCTGCCATATCTTTGGATTTGCATTGTGCTTACAGTCTTGCAACCATTACATTTCAAACTGTTTTATAAAACCACACATAAACAAAACCCCAGGGTCTTTATGACAGATCTTGCACCTTTATTTTTTTTTCAATTCATCTTCATTTTCCAGCACATGTCTTGGGGTAAGTGACAGCACCAGATCTGCGGCCTTCTAAATCTTTGAATTTTTTTCTGAAATCTAAACTAAGAATGCACCTTCAGGTTTCTAACAACACCATGTTACTGTGTAGACAAATTGGTCTTTTTTTTTGTCATAGCTTGCATGATGCCTGCAAATACGAACAATTCTTCACCCTGCCTCTAGGGTTGTTACCTGATCTGTGTGATGGCAGTGCGGATCCAGGTGGAGTTATAATTGATGGTTATATGGCTCAGGGGATGCTGATGATGATAAGGAATCACTCGAAGTTGCGTACAGGGATGAAGACTTGATTTGATTTAAGTTATTGTTGTAGTCACGTGTGCCTTAGCACGGTGAAAAGCTTTGTTTTGTGAGCAGTACAGGCAGATCATAGCAAACAAGGACACACAGATCACAGAGCGAGGCATACCAGGTTACGGCTGCAGAGGAGGTGCACAAAGCAAGATCAACATTGGCAAGATCAACAATATTTAAAGTTAGAGAGACCCATTCACCAGTCAAATTTTTTTTCTTTATTCATTCACAGGATGAGGGCATCGCTGGCTAGGCAGCATTTATTGCCCATCCCTAATTGCCCAGATGGCAGTTAAGAGACAAACTACATTGCTGTGGGTCTGGAGTCACATATAGGCCAGACCAGGTAAGGATGGCAGATTTCCTTCCCTGAAGGAACCAGATGGGTTTTTGCGACAATCAACAATGGATTCATGGTCAACATTAGATTCTTAATTTTTATTGAATTCAAATTCCACCATCTGCCATGGTGGAATTCGTACCCAGATTCCGAGAACATTATCTGGGCCCCTGGATTAACAGTCCAATGATAATACGAGACCATTGCCTAGGGCAGAGAACAGCAGGGAAGAAGTTGTTCTTCAACCTGTTGGTGTGTGTGTTCAAGCTTCTGTATCTTCTTCCTGATGGAAGACATTGTAAGAGAGCATTACGGGGCTGGGATAGGTCTTTGATGATTGGAGGCATTACCAGGGTGGGAGGGGTCTTTGATGGCAGCATTTTCGCAGCAATAAGACATGTAAATGGAGTCCATGGGTGGGAGGTTGGCTTCCGTGATGGTCTGGGCTGTGCACACAACCTTCTGTACTTTCTTATAGTCCTGGGCAGAGCAGTTGCTGTACCAGGCCATTATGCACCTGGATAGAATGCTTTATATGGTGCATCTGTAAAAGTTGGTGAGGCCCCTTATGGGCATGCCAAATTTCCTAAGCTTCCTGAGGAAGAAAAAGCATCGTTGTACCTTCTT